ATGCAATATCTATGCAATAAATATTAATAAATATCCTTGTTTCTAATTATGGGTGCCAAATATTCAACTTACTTTGTGAATGGCACAAATGTCAGTGTGCTGACAGTGTGAATAGAGTGAAGACCGTTGTTACAAAGCAACTAAAGTACCTAAGCCAAAGAAAGTATTCCAGGTTCTTTCTCATCAGCCTATTAGCTGTTTTTAAAGTTAAGATCTCATGACCTTCAAGGTCCCTATGTTTTTTCCAGGAACTCTTAGACGTCCCAGCTTGTTAATGCCTCACAAATTCCATACAAGAATATTGCACAAGGAAAAGGGATCAAGTTAGTTTACCAGTTTCTTTACATTGACTCTTTTGACTCTTCTAACTTCTCCACCACCCAAGCATCATCCCAGCATGAAGCCGATCACAGAAACTAAGCAGCCACTAATCATGTTTCAGGTTCAGCCAAGTTTCTTTATCAATATATCAATACTAAATCAGAGTTGAATGACACCTAATTGCGGTACACAGCATGACTGTGAAAGGCCTCAAGCACTCAGGGAAAAAAATTGCCTCTACTGAAGTCAAAGATCTTTGCAATTGCTTTCAGGAGTCCCAGGGTTAAGAGCATTATGGTTTTCATAGTATTCTTAATTTTGGTCTGGAGCACAGACTCTTTCAGCCCCTGACATTTTGGATCAGGCTATGTAATAACCATCTTCCAGATAGTTACATTTACGCTTAAATGGTCCTGAATTTTAATCAACCTGTAGGTGTGAGAGGGCATAAAGCTCTCATTCTTGGCTAAGCCCTTAACCATGCATTTGCGATTTCAACTAGTTTAAGATAGGATTTATCAGTATTACTACTTCTTCCAGTCACGCGCTGAAGCTTCTGTATAATTCACTGGCACTTACAGATAAATAATGAGAACAGGGGAAGATATGATGTGAAAACCATCTGTAATATTTTACATAGCATAGGCTCACACTTTCACATGCATCTAGGTAAATAGGAAACCCATGGTTATTTTCTTATGAGCTTTAGGTGCTTAAAGCCCTGAAGCCTGAACTGTGCTGAAGTCAATTTTAAAAATGGAAATTCAGACACCTATGCTAATAAAAGGAACAGATTCCTTATAAAGTGGTTTAGGCTTCTGACTTCACACATTTTCAAAGAGATTTGTGTAGCCAAACAATTTAGGTATCTGTGCTTTATATTTAACCACAAGACTGTTGTAATGGTGAAGAAAACTTCAGGTATTGCTCCTCAGTGTTGGTTTATGTTCATAAAATTACATTTATTTTTGCAAAAAATGAGACATATTACAATAGAAATTCCCCAAGATTCTTTGAAGTTACTCTAAAACCTATGCATTTACTGGGAACAGAAGGCAGAAGCAGGGGCTCCTAAGAAGCATGATTTCAGCTTTCAGGGCATATCAAACCAATAGTCTACTGTATCTTTGGCGATTAGAACAGAAGTGACTAAGGGCAGGGGCATTCAGTTATGGTATTCCTGGTATAACCAGAAGATAATGACTGTGAGACATTAAATTTACCCATAGCATCCTTGCATTGGTTCAGCATCTAAAAACTCTTTTCATCTTATTTAAAATTGCAATATTCCAGTACTAAAATGACAGATGTAAATCTTCTAGTTATATTAACTTTATTTAGCTATTATTAATTTTATATACCTTTATCTTAAAATAAAGATGTATACTTTTCAAATACAATATTCCTTGACACGGCCAGTTCATTTTTTTTTTTTTTCATTTTAGATCATCATATTTATACCATTTGCTTACTGACCTCTCACATCAGCTTTTACAGCAGCTTTCAAGAAGGTAACTGATTTCATGGTTCAGAGCAATGATGATCCTTCAGAAAAAAGGTTTGAAGCCAGATATAGTTGGAAAAATGCAGACAGTGTAAAAATATAAATATATATATATCCCTCCCACAAAAATACCATCTCTTTGGGTCAGAACAGAATAGTTATTCTTTAACACTTTATATAGAACTTAAGAAAACATTCCTGAACCTATTTGTTTTTCTGAGTTCACACCTGGCCATTTCCCCCCAGGCTGATTTCACACTGTTATTCCAGTGAGTGACTGTGTCTTCGATGAAATGATCTGTTTTCTTGTGCTTTAGGCTTCCTCTTGGCCCTGGAGTGTTACAGTAATATGAAATATGATGACACATTGTTCTTTTATAGGGCTCTCCATATTGGATATATTGACAAGTAAGCGCAAAGTGTCTTCTGTTTGCTAGCTCCTTTGTCAGGTGCTGTGGACATACCCTTGACTGGAGGCTCCCCTTGCCAAACAGATTGCTGTGCCAGTATTTTCCTTGACATATATATAATAAACCTGTTGTGCTGATATCCTGGGAATTTGTTACTGACCAAGAGGGGGGTGGAACAGCAAGGCACAGAAAATCCACTCTACATTCTAATGTTTAGGCTTTATCCTTTATTAGGTAGTGAGTAAGAGACATAAAAAGAATTGAGTTTGTTTTTTTACAGCTGAAATTTAAAAGAGACTTGTGTGAACAAAAACTTGTTCCATAGAGAACTGTGACAAAAGAGGTCCAAGAAAACTGAAGGTGTCATTGCAAATTAGCTGATGTAAATAGTTGGAATGACACCCTTTTTATTTCTAGCAAAACTTGTATTATCTCTGCCCTTAGTACTGTGCCTCCATGCATGCCACAGGCCACATTTTGGCAAGGATCTGCCTGTAGATTTTGATGGCATCACAACAACATGGCAAGATGTACAACAGGTGTCCAAGCACCAGAAGGCTGTGTGTTAAGAGCCTACAGGATATTTGCAGGTCTCCCCTTTTCCCATCTGCGTGTTTTTCATGGGGAAAGGATTGCCTGCCCAGACCTTCTCTTCATCAAAATGCCAGTCCTCTTCCACTCATTTAGCAAGTGCTTGCTTACACAACCTATTACAAAAGGCTCTGGAGATAAACAGTGGTTCATGAAGCACAGCTTGAAAACTGGTGCCCTTTTCAAGGAGGAACTTGAACACAGCTGGCAATGGCACTACAACTTCTGCAAAAAGATGGAAGGTTGAAAGGCTTAAAAGACCAAGGCCAAGGTTTTGCCAAGAGGAACTGAACCTTACTACACTATATTGATGTACCAAAATACTGAGTGTTAGGTGCAGGTTTTGTAGGCTAGCCTGTTTACTGCCTCTTTACTGGGAGCTGTAGAGTAGGGAGCCCTTTTAAATATCAGCCCCTAGTTATTTAGGTGCCTAAACTTGGCTTCAGGAACTTACTCATACTCTTCTTGTTTTGGAAATGGGGCGAAAGCAATCCAGCTAGTAACCATCCCTGAAATTACCATCGCATCTTTATCATGGCTACATAGGAGTGAATTAAATATAACCAAAAGCCCATTTCATTTCAAGGCACAAATGTTTGCAAATAAACTGGATGAAATACAAATACATAATATAGAACTTATTTTAATACTTCTAAATAAATAAATGCATCTCTTTGGAATTCTTTGGACACAGACATCCATGGAACCTCTTCTTTCTCTCTTTTTATATATACTTTTTTATAAAATCTAAATGCAGAGAGGTTTAAAAAATGGCAAATATCAATGCATATGGAAGGCTCACTGATGAACTGCAAGTCAAAAGTGCTGTATATTCCCATCCTCCATATCTCACAACTGTCCATATTAACCACAGGCAGTATTATATAGCAACCACATGGTCAATATTTTGCATTACTACCTTTTAGTAAAATTTTTCGAATCATTTCCACATCTAAACTTAAATTATGTTTTTAAATTTTATTCCTCCTAAATGTATGGTAGGCATTTCACTTAGCTACACATCAGAGTGGTCGCATGTGACTCAGCAGCGCACTCCGTAATATTAATAGATACATTTCAGTTCCCTATGGGAAAAAGCAGGCAGCAAGAATCAGATTCCAGAAGTCTATTCTTCTCTGCTGTTTGTTACTTGCCACTTAATGACCCACATGTGAAACTCGATGGTTATATAATTATTTTATATAGTAGATTTTCTGTTTATAAGTTATTTTTCTTACTCTAACATATATACAATATATCTATATATACCCCTGATAAATCTTACTTTAAAGGGACACAGTCAACCCCTTTAAGCCTCACAGCAAATATATAAGGCTTTAAGCTATCAATACATAAAGGTCAGCTACAGAATTCAAGGGTCCCTTCAGATCCTAAAGGTTGTATTTGTTCCAAACCCACAATGTGCAGTTATCTCGTAATACGTATCTCATGTGTTGCTTTTTACATTTTATAGGTGTATTAAGACATTTTATATCACATCAGTAGAAAATAAAACAGAATGAATCTATTTCTATGACTAAGCCTACTGCAAAAAAATGTGACCTGTATCTACAGACTCTCCCACTGGTGTGATATAAAAAGTATATGTGCCATCTTGGGATGAAATTCTGGCTACATTGCAGTCAGGAGGAATCTTATACTGACTTAAATGAGGCCAGGATTTCTCTCCTGCTTTTCATAGTTATAACTATGCATAATCCATTTGTGTCTTCCCTCTCCTCAACACTAAAGTGTCAGGCCTGTTTCATGATAAGAGTGTGTTTTTTGCTGTCCACTGGCATGCCTTAAACTTTGATCTATTCTGTATGTATTACACCTGTTGAATATACACACACTGTACACATACATTCTCAGTTAAATTGAAGTTCAACTTATTCTGTGCACAGCATCCGGATATATTTTTTTTTTTCCCACTAAGTCTTCTTTATCATTTACTTTGCCCTAACCATAGATTATCTTCACATCCATTCTTCTCTGGCTCAGGAAGACAATTTTTGCTCACCAGGAACAGCTCCACATTATTGTAATAATTTTTGACTACTTACCAAAGTGACATAATTTGTTCATTTTGTCTTTTGCAACTCAGTTAGAAACCTAGTGGCATAGATAGAGACACAATACTACTGTTGTACAAGACATCTATTGTATCTACTTTTGTTCAGATAAATACCCAGTAACTGCTGATTTTGCAGGAGGATTGGCAAGGGTACTACTATTCACAGTGTTTCTTTTTTTCCTTCTTCTTTAATCTACACAATAGAGTATTTTATGTACATTGGAACCAGTTAATGCCCTTTAGACAAATTTGTAGGTTGTTTCATAAAGCAGGAAAGACATTGCAGGGAAATATGTGCCAAAAAGCACAGTCAAAAGGCTTCATAAGTTTTATATGTCACTACAAGTTAATGCTGGAGATCAGTTCTAAAACGATCAATACTCAAGAGGAATGTTCTCATCTGGAGAAAATACTGCCCATTCCCCCTTTTAGAATTTGTTCAGTTCTCTATCAAAAGTCCTGGCTCTTCATATATACTTTAAACTATAAATAAACACTGCATAGTTCAATGTTCTATAAAATGTTTTTTTTTTTTTTTTTTTTTTTTTTGATTTGAAAAATTATTGCAGTACAATTAATTCCTGTTTGGAGTTCAGTAAGGAGCAAACAGCACAGGAGTATGGGTGGTCCGTATAGGCCCCGGAGCTGGTCGTAGGAGTGCTGGAGGAAGTGCTGAAGTCTGGAAAAGGGTGGCTGCTGGGGCTGTGCGAAGACTGAAGGGGGAATTCACAGCCACAGCAGCAGCTGCTGCTGCAGCTGCTAGCGGATTTGGTAAGATTCGTGGTGCCATCGGCTTTGAAGGTTCCTTTGAAAATACTAATTTTACCTGTGGGGAAGAAAGAACACAAACAAAGAGAGAATCATAATTTGCTCACATTAGCTACATGACAGGGAATTTGACCTAAGATTATAAGTGCAAAATCAAGTAAGAGAGGCCTTGTAGCAGCTACTGACTCTATGAGCCGCAAGCTTGCGACAGGAGATACGATCTCGCACATTGGACAAGGGTGAACAGGATTTGGTTAGGGACAAAGAGTTTCAATGTTCATGCCTTATCACAGAGATTTATAATTTAATATGAGATTAGTAATCAAAGCAAACCTAAAAAGGGGCTGGGCAATCTGCACCAAAGTAAAGCTGTGTGTACCCTGCAAGAATTAAATAAAGAAGAATTAGCCATCAATTAAAAGACCTCCATCTGGACAGCTTTATGATAGAGACAAGAGCAGAATGAAAACATATCCTGTTCCCTGGTCTGGCTAAGAATGTACTTTTGGTTTTATCATTAGGATGCAAGTTCTACTTAAAATAAAGATCTCCAGCTAGCTCCTGCCTCAAATAATAAGCAAATAAACAAAGCTTATCTTGCACTGGTTATGAAAATCTCCTAATGTTTCCCATGTTCAAACATGTGATGAATTCTATGGATGCTGCCCTATGTCATCTTGCTATGTCTTCAAATGTTTTTCACTAAGATATTGTTCATTCTTACAAGGACTATGAAAAAGCTAGCAAATATTTTAATATGTTCTTATGAAAAAGCCTTGCCTCCATCATTTAGCATGATGCCAAACCATGTTATTTGTTGCTGTCACTGAGGCTTCTGCTTTAAAAACATTTAAATCATGAGTCTTGTGCACTACTAAATAGAATCTGAAAAAACCCTCATTTAGAAGTTAAAAAAAAAAAACAACCCCAAACTCTCAACCTTTTCCCAGACTGATTGAAAATACTCCCAGAGGTCCATTATTATTTAAGGGAATTTACATTTGGTAGGCATACAAATGAACATCAGAGTAGTCTATGTAGATTTCTGCAGATTTCAATGGGATTTGAAGTTTCTAATGAGAAGCCAGGAGCCTGAATAACTTTGTTGTTCTGGTTTTATAACTCTGAGACAAGAATAGAAACCTCACCAACTGACAAAGAAAAGTTCCCATTGGCTCTGATGGACTTCCAGTGGGTGTGTGTCCTGGCATGACCTGAGGCCCTTTGCAAAGAACATAAACCTGAATATGTGGCATTGAATATATGGAATATGAATATATGTACCACGTTGCAGTACCTCTCGGTTTAAGTATGGACACTTCTCATTCACAGGGAAACACAATTTCTCACCATTAAATTGAAAGGTGTTTTCAGATACTGAAGTTGCACTATATCAGTCTGATATTTTCCACTCAACAGTAGTTTGGTGAGTGAATAGTCAGAAAGTAAGGACAGGAGTAGTCTGGCATGAACCACCAGCCAGATGGATACAGGTTTTTGACTTTTCCTAATACTCACTGGCAACTCTGCTGGCCTCAAGGTCCTTTAAAGCTCTAGGAGAGATACTCAGAGGGGATCAGATTCTGTAATTCTTTTAATGAAGGACATAATGGATGCTATATACAAAATTCCCCATGGTGCCTCTGAAAAGCAATTATCTGATCTTTTCCTTGATCAGCATTACATCCACTGATCCAAGCTGTCTTCTTCCCTTGCTGAGCATTTGACTTTTTTCTCCTTCCTTACATTTTTTTAGTAAATAGGGTTTTTCCAGCATTCTTTAGACCAGACAAGAAAAAAAAAAGCTCTCTCTCTCTCTCTCTCTCTCCCCCCCTCAAATCCTGAGTACAAAGTAGGAAAAAATGCCGATCCAATACAACAGGGCTCTGATTGTGGTCTAGAATCCTCAGTGAAGGATGTTTTTCATAAAAGCTATTTAATTGCAGAAAGCTTAGACTATCAAATGCCTGATAACCTCTTTCTCTCCAGTGTATTATTTTACACATGCTGGACATTTGTGGCTTGAAGAAATATCAAGCAAGTCCCAACAATACAAGATTTCTTTAACTCTGAAATAGTACTGTGGGAATTCATAAAGCTTCTTTCTCTGAAGCATGCAAAACTAAACTAGACTAGACAAAGCAGTACAAATGATATTTAAAACATGGCATTGGAAAGTTTTTGGTCTAGAAAACCTATGAAAATGTGTTAAGTCCTTTTTCTAACTTCTGTAGAAAAAAATCTGGTGATGCCTACACATTTTTTGTCACAAAGAACAAAGATCTTATGTGACATTTATATTAAAAAGCTAGGACTATCTTGGTGGAATCAGGAATTTCTAATGAAGTTAGATAGCTTTTCAGTTAATTTATCAGCATGGTTCTGATTTCCAGATAGCTGCAAAACTAGTAATATTTAGCATATACAGTACCTTGCACCTTCATTTAAAACCTCTTTGCAAGTATTAATTAACACACAGGTCAACAGTAAGAGTAAAGTAGCCATTATTTGTTACATTTCCAATGAAGTAAAGTAAGGGACAGTAAATAACTTGGAAAATTAACGAGGCGTAAAGAAAAAGTCTAGAGCTCATAAAAAACATTTACACTCAAAGTAAAATTAGCACATCTTTGGCTTGTTGCTTTGTAATTTTGGTATTTTTTCTATTCAAAACCAAAAAGACTAAATGGAAAACTGCTCTCATCCTTTCTCAGTGCAGCCTTCATTCTACTACCTGTATCTGTTCATTTATTGATAACTCATTCTCTCCTTCTTAAATCCCCTTTTCCCACCTCTGACCTCGCTTGTATATTGTGAGCAACTGGGAGTGCAGGATCAGGAAAAGGACATGTTGCCTTTATTTGTCTATGCAGCAACTAAATGGCCTTGATCTTTGGTGGGAGTTCTCAGAAATCACCATTATGTAAATTGGCAAGTAGAGAACTGTGCACAACAGCAACAATCATGTAATCGTTATTTTAATCTCCTGGGAAACAATGAATTTCCTAAAGGAATAATAATCCTATCAGAGAGGCTTTAGTGATTTCATATCCTACTTATCTAATTACATATTTTCTATTCCTTTCAGTATAGCTTATATGTATTGGAGACACTGGTCTTCCCGGTGGATTACTGAAAAACCCCATGGGGCTATTTCCCTACTAGTGGATCTACCAGAAAGGCGCACCACATTATACTACAAGATCCTGGAAAGCTTCTACCCAACTGAATCATGCATGAAGATACCTATCATGAGGGCTGCTCCAACAAGGACACACTTCCTGTTGTCAATAAAAGAGCTTTAACTCAACTTAAAGAGAACTGGGTTTTCACAGAAAAAAAAGCTCCATATTCTGCCTGCATTAGAGAAGATCGTCAAGGAATAAGGGGCTAATCTCTATGAGGCCAATGAATCAACATCCTCCCCCTGCCAAAACCATCTATAAACCCTCTCAAAACACGATGGCACATAAAACAATCATGTGGTTTATCTGATGGAGATAAATGTCAGAAGTTTCACTATCCCACCCACAATATAAGTTGTTTCTTGGCAAGATCCTAGCAGAGTTTTTAATTAAAAAGTAAACCTTTTTCTCAGCTTTTGAAGCTAGTATTTCTAGCTGTGTTTCAAATACCTGGCAGTCAAAAATGTGATCAGAATAATCCTGAAACTGAGTGGAATGAAATGAGAGATATAATTTTTTAATTGCTTCAATTGTTATCTAAATAATTTTCTACATAAGGATAGAATAAAGGTTTTACATTTTATAGAGTTTTATTCAGTCATTTCATCACTATTGGCCTTGATGAAAACTGGAAAAATCCTGTTTGACAACTGGATGTCTCATTTATATGTTGCTCTCTTAACAAACTTTGAAACAAGCTTCTTTTCTGACGATATTCAGCGTAGCCACAAAAAACAAGGACCCATGAGTGGTAGTCCACACCCATCAAAGTATATGAAAAGTCCCTTGTGGGCTCCCTTGGGCTCAGCAGATGTATACTCCCATCATATACACTATTCCTCTAATTTTAAACATTTTTCCACTTCTTATATTTTCTAAAAACTCTACTCAGCAGGTTTAAAATAAAAGTAAAATAAAAAGGTGATTGGCTTACCCCTAGAGGATGTGTTCCCTTTTGGAGTTTGTTGTATGGGCTGTATTTAGGTTTAGGTGGCTTCCCAGCAGCTCTGTCTTTGTGCCTTCTACTGCTTATGTGCTGTCAAAATACATTTGGGGGAAAAAACAAAACAAAACAAAACCAAAAAGAAGAGTGATATTTCCATAATAGATCATTTCAGGTTCTGCTTTACACAAGAGTTCTCCCATACTGAAGGCTACTGCTCTCCACAACAGCATTACTTTGACTAAATCAATAACAAATAGAATTAGAGTCTGTTCCAATTTGAACCATCCTTTGTGAGTCACATATTGGGACTGTGATTTTCTACAGTGCTCAGTTCAACTCTGCTTCCACTGTAGTCAATGATTTTCTCAACTTTGTTAACTTCAACAGGACCTGAGTCAGGTCAAAGATAGAAGCCTCTGAAAATTTTCTCCCTATCTCTATAAAGCACCCATCAAATTCAATCCACTGCTGATAGAAAGTTTAGGAAGAATATTGGCTAGCAGAGCATCACCTACTTGGGGCGGGGGGGATGGGAAGATCACAAAAATTGTTTAAATCCCTGAGAAGCCTAGACATCCTTTTAAGATTTCAACTGAAAGATGCTTACACATCAAACTAAGTGACAGTGAAAAAAACCCACAAAATCCATTATCTTATTCCTAAAATCTTTGAGACTTTACAAGAATCCTACTATACAGTCTTTATTGCAGTATTGGATGTAAGGGACCTTTTTCAGAACTATATTTTTACTTTGATTTTCATTCTCAAGAGAGTTGTCACAAAAAAAAAGAACTGGACAATCTTTTTTTCTGCAAGCAGAAGACAAGTAATGCTATTGTCCATTACAGAATTTATCTTCATTCTTGTAAAGTTCCTTAACAAGTATTTAATTCCAAAAGGCATATGGAATTAAACTAAGTGTTTTTCAGAACAAAGGCTTTGTTCATCTAAAGAATGACTGAACATAACTTAGTGTAATAGCAATTTAGAGGTCATGCTTCTTGGTTACAGAGTAACACTGATAAAAAAAAAAAAATTACAAATCCTCTCCATCCTGCATTTCTATGGAGGTTGTTCAGTGTTTTGTGAAAATACTGGCTGCATCCATCTCCACATCTTTGTTAAGGCAAATATCATGCAATACAATAAATGGCAGTGTTTATTAGCTCATGACAATTATAGTAGTCTAAGACAGTTGTAATGTTGCAGCTTACAGCTTCTATAACTCCTTAAGACTTATATATAATCAAGAGCTTTTTAGAAAACATATTCTGTGCAAGAGAAAATCATATCCAAAACAAAACATATAGCGTGAAAGACAAGTACAGAGGGCAAAATCTGTAAGCTTCATTTGAATGTGAACTGTTAGACTGACACATGCTGCTTATGTTGGTACTTTATCACCATGAAAACAAAGAACAGCCAAGGATTCACACTCTGCAAGCTAGCTGAGTACCTGTTTCAGTTGTGTCTCAGAGTTTACGTGCACATCACATATTTCACAGTGAAATGTTTTGTTTTGAAGGCCTGTGTTTCCTTTATTCACAGGTCCTTTGCCTTTTACGCCTGCCCGGGGAAAGGCTTTTATGGTTCCACTTCCATTCCGAGCTTCCAGCATAGTTTTGTGCTTAGTCCCTGGAGACATCAGAAATGGGAAACAGAAAGAACTTTGGCAATTTGGTTGGCATTCATAATTTTATTTTCTTTTTAAAAGAAAATCATATGAACTTCAGCTTGGTGCCATGTGCTATCCTTGAAATATGCCCGTGTTTGTCTGTATCAGACTCATACCAATGTAACAGCATTTCACACCTGATATTTAACTATTAAATTACATATCTGTAGGTAATGCACTAGAACAAAGCAGCCACACCAGTAAGTAGCAGCACAATCAGGTATCCTGATGTGAAGTTAAATGGGTGTGACTTTTCTCATTAACTCCTGCTGCTAATAAGACTTGAATTTAGTTGCAAAGGAAGAGTAATCAAGGTATTAAAGATGTAGTTGGCTTTGATTTGTAGTCCTCCTGCATGGACTGAAAAACAATATACATTAGGTAGCTTACACTTAAATCTGTAATTAAATAATTAGTCTCCAAATCAAAAAGGGGCAGCATTTCCTGGCAGCAACCTATGGATCCTTAATGGCCTGGACAGAAACCAAAACGTGTGAGAAACATACATGAGAAAAATGCACTTGCATTTTTAATTAAAATAAAGATTGGATAGAAAACAATAGTGTCCTGTTACTCTACTTTTATTCAGATTGAACAATTTCTTACACTTTGACTCCCGTGCAGGTAGTCTGTGATGATAATGGACTACTACCACTTACAGAAATAGTGATCCACTGATAATTGTTGTATGCATCCAAATGTACACTTTTACAAGCATGCACGTCTGTGAGTGCACACACAGTTTATCAGCAAAAACTTGGAGGGCTCTGTTTAAATATTCAGAATAATGTTTTGGCTCTCATCTTGATCAGAAAAATGTTTGGAATCTAACCCTCATATGAAGTTAAATAGATTAAATGGGTGCAGCTTTACAAATTTAAATTTTCACCAGTTGAAGATCTGGCATACAGCAAACACAGCATTCAAAACTGATTAGGCTTTGTTTCTCATGAATACCAACAAATTATAATTTCCTTTTTAATTTAAGTGGATTCTATAGACATGCCAAAGTTATTTCTTTTTTTAATTACATTATAAAACCACTGATCATCTTGCTGCAGGTATATCATCACTGTCTCTATGTTTCAAACCTAACGTTCTCTGTCTGTCTCCTAACTCTGTTTACTCTGCTGGCAGGTAACCCTTAATGTCCAAAATCAGGAGATTTTCTGTAGGACTGACATAGGTGGTCATTGCCACCATATTAAATCCCAAGATATTTTAACCCTGCTCACCACATAGCCAATCAATAAGATGCTTAAAATAATGACTGTGAATGATGGCTCTCTACTACTGGAACTTACCAAACTGACTAGATCTAATAAGAATAAAAGGTTTAAAAATTAAGAAAGATGGAGGTAAGCAATTATCCATTCAACTCTTATGCAGCAGTTGCTATCAGTTGATGAAAACTAAGGAAAAATATACATATTTTAACAAGTTATTAACAGCCAACATGGAGCTAAGAATTCTAACTCTCATAATTGAACTCTGACTGACTGACACTCCCTCTTTCAGCCTTAATTTGTTAGATTTCAAACAAAGCTAATGGCATTCATAGTCAGTTTGCTAGCTGGCACAAATAAACGTATGCAAACTCTGAACACCAAAGGTAATGAAGCATGAGCTGTCATTTAGCTCTATAAGGTCTGGAAGCTGCAAAAGCTAAAATGTAAGAAAATGGGTAACTTGCATGCAGTAAAATTACTTTCTTCTCCCTTTATGAAAGCCTCTTTGCCTGTCATTTTTATTCTTTAATACTTAATGAATTCCATGTAATTGCCAGTTTTCTGCCACCTCTTTGTCCCCTGCTGCAAGAGATCTAATCTATTCAGTGGAAGATAATTGCAGAGCTCTTGAGACAGTAGGGAAAAAAGGAAGAAAGCAAGCACTACTCCATCTCACCACTGTTGTGCGCCTCCAGCTGCGAGGCAGAGTTGACAGCAACTTTGCATAGTGAACAGTACAGCAGTCTTTTTGCTTTTTCTTCCTCAGTCTCAACGGAAGGGCATGTGGTGCTGCTAGTGGCTGCCGTGGGGATTTTCTCCACTTTAGAGGTGATCTCAGTTGTCATAACACTGCTCTTCCGGATTTCCACGGTTGTCGTCGTTGATATTGCTGGTGTCCCTGTGGTAACGTCTGTGGGCAAAGAGAGGAGATGGAAGGAAACAGAAAAATCAAAATCAAAACCAAAACCAAAAAAAGGTTATGACCTTTGCCATTTGCTTGTTTGCATCCTAATGCTGTAACCACACAGAGAGCCAGATCGTGATGGTGATGGTTTGACTAATGGAGATGAACTAAATCTGACCTTATTCTTTGTATTTTGGATGGTTACAAAATACAGTACTCGCATGTATCGAAATGCCACATATTCTGTCTCCTGCATTCTGCTAACAGTCAGTAAATACAGAATTCATAAACTGAAAAGACAGGTCATTAAGACTGTACTGTACAACTGAAAGATAATCCGCTAAAAGAGGTCCTGTAAATTACCAGTACAAGACCTAGATGTAGCACTTCAGATGCATGAACTGCTATAGTACTGCACAATACTTATGATGACTGAGTAGCCAAGCTTAAGTTTTAACATTCTGTACTAATAAAACTAAAATGAAAATAATCGTATGTTCTTGATATCTGATAAAATAAAACATTAAATTGACACTTCATTTTATGTTAGCCAAAACTAATGAAGGTAATTATTAATACACAGTATACATTTATCCATGCATTATTATTATCCATTATTGCATACTAATAATACATACTACTAATAATAATTAAATATACAATATTCTATATCTGAGACCTACACAAAGAGTAATAAGATTTCTGTTCTGTGTATCAGTGGTATGTTTGGAAAAACTGTAAGCATGTTATATACCTAAATCTACTTGGAAATCTAGTTGCTTACACCTAAGAACTTGTGCTTTTTTCTGTAGTTTTCAAATCCAAGAGAGAGAAAATACACAATGATATTGTGGTTTGAATAATATACGCATGACGTTTGAATATGGCAGTATTGTTTGGTAGTTAAGTACTTAGCAGGGTAGACGACAGTAAGATCCAGTGCTGAGCCAGTGGAGAAGATGGGAAGTAAGGAACACGAGAAGGAGTGAAGGGACAGGACCTGTTCTACCTTTGTAGTGTTTGATTTTGTCATATTAAGCCTACTGTGTAGCAACTTCTTCAATAAGAAAACTTAGTTACTTTACTGAGTTACTCTTGGAATTGGGTACTTTCTAACACAGCTTATTTTGGTTTCATATACCTCTTGGTGTTAGTGGTGTTCTACCCGTACCATGCTTTATCCATTGCCATCTATTAGAATAGGCAAAATAACAATTCTTTTGGCTTACAGATGTCAGTATATGCTGTGATACAGGAGGGTCACACCTCACTGATGCCACAGAGGTGTGTTTCCAACTAATACTGTTCAACAACTTCATTAATGAAGAACATGCTTAATAACTTAGCAGACAATAATAAACTGGGAGCAAACACAAACACACTGAGAGACATGATTCAATTCTAATGCATTGGAGAAACAGTCTAGAAAATCAGATGCTTTTCAGTAAAGACAATTGCAGGAATTCACACTCAGTAGGATTAATCTGATCTATTAAAACGGGATAAAGAACAACAGTCTCGATACTGCTTTTTGGGGAGGTTTTTTGTTTGTTTGGGTTTGTTTTGGTTTGTTTGTTTGTTTGCTTGCTTGTTTTTCAGAAAAAAGCTTTCAGTAGTGGATAACAAGATAAACACAGATCTCTTATATCATCATGCTATAAAACAAGGTCCCCACTATACTGAAAGTTCAAAGTGAAAGATTTATGAAGTATTTTTTCTCCTCTAATCAGCACTGGAGGCCCTGTGTCCAGCCTGGGGACTGCAACACTAAAAATCAACAATTACTTGCTTTGTTGTTAATCCAGCAGCAACACAAATGCAAACCAACAAGAGGTGGCTTTCAAGAGAGGAAGCCAAAACAAGTTAGAGGTTTAGAAAACATGGACTGTAAATATGGAAGATAAAGGGTAAACACGCAACATCTTTCATCTCTGTTGAAGGTACCTAAAAATAAAGAGAACAAACTCTTCTCCCTGATCCCTCCTAATAGGACAAAGACTATTGGATTACATCAAGAGAGACTTAGATTAGACATCAGGAAATTCCTTCTAATATTAAAGCTTGTACAGCATGAGAATAGCCTACCTACAGAGATTCAGAAATATTGCCTACTGGAGGACTTGGAACTGGCTGAACAAATATCTGCAGGAGCACCCCAAGTATGATCCCCTTTCAGTCAGTGGGAATAGAACCCTTCAAGCCCTGTCTATACAATTGTGTATTTTGTAACGTTTCTACATATCCACCCAGAGGGTTCTTAAAAATTATTATTCATAAAACCAAGAAAGCAGAGCTTGTCATGTGAATATTCTCCATATTGCCAGGCATTAAATCAAAAATAAGGTCCCACTTAAGGTCTAATCAAAGTATTTCTTTTTCCTGAGAGTTAGTCTGGAGGTGGTTACATCCTGAAGGTACTAGGGGTGTCAAATACCAGTGCAGAAGGAATATTGTTACCTTGCTTAACATTCTGTTCTTTTTTTTTTTTTTTTTTTTTTTTTACAGACCAACAATAATGTTTCAAAAGAAAAATACTATTTTGAAATATTAAACCTTTTATTGGGAAACTGATGAGTAAATGAAACCTTTGTAGATCTGTCCACAAAATTATACATTTAACTAGTCACTACTTTCCCACAGAATCCATGTCAATGTTGGCTTTCCTTCATTTGAAAGTTGCTGCAGTGAAATTATTTTCCTCTAAAGCCTGCTCCCAGCAGTACATAACACTGCTTTTAAAACTTCACTTTCTCCATCCTAGGACTACTGTACGGTAGTAGGTCTAGACAATGTATTTTCCTGGTGAAAAGCAAGGCAGAGGGCAGATAGCACCAGGGAGAGGGAAGGAAAATAGAGAGAAGACATTAGCATTCTCTGAGGATTGGTGGCAAGGTTGGTGCTGATTCTAATTTTGCAAGAAATTAGATATGTACATCAATCACCATTACCAGCTTTACAGTGCAAGGGTCAGTATTTTGCTCTAAGCAAAATACAGATAATAATTTGCTCTAAGCAAAATACAGATAATAATTTCTTTATTTTCCATAGGAACACCTGAGGCAATGAACAACAACAAAAAAAGTTTAAATAGCTGCAGATTTTATTCTGCTTCAAATATTTGACAGACAATATTTTGACAGATATAGGTATCTATGTTGTTTTAATATTTCACCATGTAATTATTTTAAAGTGAAAAGAAAACACAATTGATTATGCTAGTTCTTTTGAGGTTATTTTGATATGTATGAAAGCAGCATTGTATACAAAAATTAAACTAAAAATGCTAAATATTATCAGAATATTCTTCAACTATCAAAATTTCAAAGTTCAGAGTATATATTCTGCTAATATACCTTTCAAAAGGTGCCCTACATTAATACATTATATATTCCATTAATGCAAATGCATTAATCACATCAAAATATACACAAGAAAACCATCCAAGTTCACCATCTAAAAGCCATAACACATTTAAAGATGCAAAGCTGCTCCTCCTCATATAAACTTTAGAATTATCTGCAGGAATTAAGGGGAAAACATTCTAAAAGCCGTCAAGTATGCTTACAAGGAGGGAATTTAAATCCTTTTCTCATCAGAACTTCTAACCTAACCAGCATGGGTCTCTTTGAATATATTCCAGTGTTGCTGCCTGTACATGGTTCAGTGCTCTAAATACAGGGTACAGCATTAAAGGTATCAGGGATTTAAAAAATACTAAACCACCAGAAAGTAGTAGGAAAGCATTTGAATTGATGCCTTGAAGACTGAATCAGCATTTCTTAACATTATATTATGACAGGGCTTTAAGGACTATTTCAATAATAAATGATCTAAAATCAAGCTAGAAATTCAGTCGCAGTCAAAGGGAATATTTGTTTCTGGTGACGCAGGCTTGCAGCATTGTGCTATTTTCATACCACTGGCCTGCAGCAAATATTCATTATTGCAACTGTCACTGCTTGGCTTTGGCATAGAAGCTGATTGCTAATATTGTATGGAACTGGTCTCCAGCAGTAAAAAAAGAAACACTTCAGGATTCACAATAATCCATTTGTGTTTGTGATCTTAATATAGCAACAGAATAAAAATTGCAACAGAATAAAAATTAAAAATATAAAAAAATTACATTAGCTTACTGGCAAAATCAAAGATTTATTTTAACAAGAAAAGAAAACCAGATGAAGAACATTCTGTGAGAATCGACTCCTTTGGGTACTACAGATACCATAGTTCAAGTGGAAAACTGAAAGTGTGCGATTAAGGTCCTAAGTAAGCAGGATTAATTTTCTATCCCAGCTACAACTCATGAATTTTCTTTAGGCTGAAGAAACAGAAAATTACAATTCATCTTTTACTTCTGACTATGTGAAAGTCTCACTCATCGGTTCCTGCTCCTAAGCCTAAGAATTTCTTATCCTGAAAGTATAAATAGACCCACAGAGAGAAAAGTGCTCTGACTTCAAACAAATCGCAGATATTTATGAGCATATTTTTTCTTCTGCAATCTCAAATGGCATGCATTTAAAAATATCTGATATAGCACATACCCATGGTCTCATTTAAATCAAACTTTGCCTTTGACATGAAAGGACTGAGCATTTGGCCCATAATGCTGCCCAGGAAAAACCGAAAAAACCCCCCCAAACAACTCCCCCCCTGCAGAAACTAGAAAGCACATTCCTTCTCATGACAAACCGAACTTGATATGAAATATTTCACTATACTATAAGACCTCTTAGTATTCCAAAAACATTGTCAGCTGGCTCGCTTATAGCAACCCTGCATCAAGTAACAGAATGCTGCTGTACAGGTGCTTAATTCTAGCACGTTCAAAAGAGCCCCGGCATATTATTTTCCTGACTACTAAAAAAATCCCATGCTCTGTGTCCTCTATGGTAATTAAGTAATTTCTTTTGAATCCATAAACATAACAGTGGAGCATATTAAAAACAAAGTATCACTTTAAAAAGAACTGTGCAAATGATTTTTTCACGCTTGGCTGACTA